GCCTTTGCAGTACTGGGATAATCCTGTGTGTGTAGCCTTTGCCGTACTGAGTGGATTCTTTGTCCGAAGCCCTTATGAGTTTAACAGAGTCTTCTCTCTTTTCTGCTGCTGCTAATGTCTCCTCAAATCGGGGGAACAATTCTGAGTTCACATTCCAGACATTCATGAGACCCCTGGGGACAGTAAGAAAGTCGATGTGTTTGTTGGACCAGAATTCTGATGGGGGGGGGGGGGGGGGGTGCTTGTTTCTGGTGTCGGTATACAGTGTTTAAGCGTTTACCTCATTGGACCCCCTTTATCTTGTAGTGTTACAGTCTGAATTCAATGTAATTGAATTACAATGTAATTACAATGTAATTGTAATTATGTCACGAATCTACATAAAATGTTATATAATGTTACAGTGAGGGAAAAATCTTCTTAAATTTATTTACATATGAAAAACGGGTTGCATGAGGTTGTGCCCCCTTTGCTGTGAAACCTATAAATAAACTCGGGTGAAACTTATTCCCTTCAGAAATGACATAACTAGTTTAAGTGTGAAATTAAAGTGGCAGAGGAGCCCAAAAAATGCACCTGTTTCTGGGAAGCCCCGGAGAAGATATCTAAACAAACAGCGTCATTAAAAGTAAAGAGCTATCCAAACTTTGAGATACAGTTCTGGAGAAACACCAGTCAGGCTTGGGTTATAAAAAACACAAACTTTTAACATTCCCCTGGGTCATCATTAAATCATTAGACGTTATTGAAAAACGGGAAGAAAATGGCACAATGATAACTTTTCTAGAGAAGACCGTCTGTCAAAACTCACTGACTGGGTAAGGAGGACATTAGTCTGTGAAGCAACCAAGAGGCCAATGGTAGGTGTAAAGGAGATGGTGAAATCCACAGCTGAGATGGGAATAACCTTCAGTATGAAATCTTGTTTGGCGTTTGCCAAAGGACATGTGAGAGGAACAGCAATCATGTGGAAAGAGGTTCTCTGGCTTGTTGAAACCATAACCGTTGGTGCAAAATGGTACTTGTGGTGGAAAGGCAGCAGTGTCCAACATCCCGAATACACCATCCTCAAGGTGAAGTATGAAGTGGTAGCATCATGTTGTGGGGGTGCTTTCCAGTGGCAGGTCCTGAGGAACATCCAGGATTGAAGGCAAGTTAGATAGAGCCGAAAGCAGAGTAATTCTAGTGGAAACAAACCTGAGACTGGAGTTGAAGTTAACCTTCTATATGAACTCTAAATCTATCTTGGAGTGGTTTAAAATCAAGAATCCGACGGTCTTAAAATGGCTCAGTCAAAGCCTAGACTTCAATATGATCTACAATCTGTAGAAAGACTTGAAAATTAAAGTTCTTCAATGGTCCAACCTGACAGAGTTTGAACAGTTTATCCAAGTATGGTGGAGAAATTACATACACAAGGTAGAAGAGACTTGCCTCAGAAAACCGTAGTAGCAGCCAAAGGTGTTTGTAATTGGTACAGGTGTGAATACATATGCAACCAACAAATGTCTGCTTTTTCGTTTAATTAACTTTTGTGTCAAAGTAAAAATATTTTGACATCATGGTGTTATGTTGTTTATATCAAATGGAAAATTCCTAATGTAATCCATTTTAATTTTACAAAACACCTACTTTTGAGTTCACTGGGTCTGTATGATCATTTTAGCCAAAGGACATATTTTTCCTATAACGATAAGGTGGTCTGAGTTCCCCAGGGTTAATTACAGGTAATAACACAACAGAATGTGGTCCGGGGGGTGAACACTTATGCAAGGCACAGTACATCCATAGTATCATGCCAGCTCCTACTCTTGCTTTGCTCATGCCCTGCTGTCAGGTGGGGCTAAATGCTGGAAATGATGGCTGGAGTGAAAAGGCGTGTGGTAATAATGGTTCCTCTGTTTCTGCTTAATTCGGCATAGAACCAGCGGACACTCGGTCAGACAGACGTGGCATAGTTTCGGGATTAGAACGGAGGGTGTTTGTGGCTGGGATGTGGCCTCGTTGGGGGAGTACACCCTGGCACCCTCTGCTGTCCTAGCCAAAAAAAACAAGCTAGAATGAGAAGGGATTGTATCTATCACCAGACTCCCAGGTTCATTCCTTTCACGCTGGTTCCTGCTAGAAGATTCTACAGGATCAGACGATCAACCTGCTTCACCTCCTCAACTGTAATGAAACGGACCACCAAGTAACATCGAAAATAACAAAACCGGGATAATCTCTTTGGAGAGCTTGGGCCCCTACAAGCCAGCAGAACAACATAAAGGCACTGGAGCATAAATTCCACACGTCTGGACCTCTACTAGGGGCATCTGGTGCAATTTTTCCGTGAGAAATTACATCATTCGGTGTTTCATTGGTGGTCTTGGAAAAACTCTTTCAGGCGCTGTTCCAGAATCTCCCAAAACGGTTCTCATACATTGAGATGTAGTGACATGTGGAGTACATCGTTTTCACGCCCCTCAAATCATTTAGTGACCATTTCCACAGCTGGGGGAGGGGGCCTGCTCAGCCTGGAAAGTCCCAATCCCTTACGGACAGACATGCTTCACCACGGTATAAACAAGATAGCACAGACTAATTTCTCTTTGAGTCTCAATTACCTTGCCCTCTGACTGGACGATCCCATAAACCTCACACCTTAGAGAGGCAACCTTTCACTGGGGGAGAAGCAAACTCTAGTCTTTTGGCTTCATTGTGCATATGTTACACCTACTTGCCTGCTTATTGAGAACATTGTGTCCATATGACTTTTTTTGACGACCACTTTTGTAGCTGTAAAGGGAGACATATGTGTAGACTTGCCGTGCGGTAATCATTTTCAGTTGTAATGTACAGTACTGTGCGAAAGTCTTAGGCAGTCAAAGGAAATGTTTCAAGCTATTTACCTGGGCAATAAGTGTATACTCAGAATAAAAAACACAATTTAATATTTGAAAATTCAGAGTTACACAAAAAGCTATCAAGAATTTCTTCCGTTCTCCAAAAAGTCACGGCTTTGGTTCCTAAACCTCTCCTCGGAGGCACCACAGCCATTCCATGTGTTTGATAAATTTCAAATCACTTAATTTAATTAGTCAAAAAAGTCAGTGAGGTATTGGTTAGCCGTAGTGGTTGAGTCAAAATATACATGGGTGTATAGGATGTTGGCTGCAATACTGCGGTGACTCTAGGAGAGGTTTTGAAATGGCTAAGCAGACACACTCTGCAGACATCACTGTTGTACACCAACATGAAGATCATTCAAACATCATTTTCCTTGTCTAGCTAGGACTTTTGCACAGTATAATACATTTGAGAAAAGAGGCCTGGCAATAATTCTGCAGACTTTGCAGCGGAAATAGGAATAAGAATCTGTAAAGGAAACGATCTATGTGCATGACAGACTGTTTAATTTCACGTGGGGGGAAACCCAGAAGTTAATTTATTCATGGTCTGTTCCTGGGATTTTACTCTTCTTCCTTCCAGCTGTTTTCTGAAGCTCACAAAGCCAAACCTCTGTCTATAGAATGCTGTATTTCCCTCTGCTGTAGGAAATTGTCAGGTCAGCTTTAAAAGACTTTATTGTGCTTTTTGGCCAATGGGATTAACTCTTAAAATCAAGCTGAACTACAGCCCAGTGCATCTACTGGTTAAACTATTCTTTCTGAACCTAACTAATAATGATTATAAGTTTGACTGAAAGGTATTGAACTTGTAGTTTGTCATATAACCTGCTTTAAACCAGAATTTTTTTCTAGGTAAGCATACACTCATTGATGTGGGGACAGTGAACCAGGACGATGATCTCAAATTTATCAGAAAAATCACAACTTTACTTCGTTGTCACATTGTGGGTCATTTTTCTTCAATTGCAGAGGAAAACATTGTCAGAGTCCTTAGTCTGCCTGGCAGCGTGTCAATCACATATAACGCAGCACTGGTCATTGCTCCTGCATCTACAAGGCACTTGTTCACGAATACAGACAGTTGTAAACATTTCCTTCGGATATGTGCTATTCTCTTATGAATAAATATCAAATTTAATGGCTAGTTCTGCATAACTGGTATAAGTCATATTTTGATGAAAAATGGCAGTCATCTACTGTGTACGCTAATGGCTCTCACAGGTGTTGGGGGTCGAGGGCTTTTTGTCGACTTCCTTGGCAGTAACTGGGGCGAGCATTGGGACCGTTGGTGCCTTGCTTTTGCCGTTACCGCCAGCCCAAGGCTTCCTGCAGGTCACTGCATTATGACGTCGGGCTCGATGTGGAACAGCAGGTCGTCGTTGCCACGGCGAACCTCCAGCAGCAGGGCTGTGTCCTCCATCAGCGCTTCCTGCAAGTCGACGGTGCTCTCCAGCATGCGGCCGTTCAGCTTCACGATGATGTCGCCGTCTTTGATGCCGCCCCTGCGGTAAGCGGGGGAGGGGAAATGATCACCAAACACCCTGTCATCACCTGTTAGTCTTACCTCCATACCAAAGTACAGATGCTCCCTAGGTTATGATGGTCTGTGTTACGATATTTCAACTTTACATTGGGTATAATTATTCAATAAATTACACAAGATATTCAACACTTAGGCCTTGGGCTCTATTTTGATGATCTAACGCAAAGCACGAAGCAGAACTAATGGTTATGGGCATGCTCAAAATAGATTTTGCTATTTTGATGATAGAAAAACCAGACTTTGCGCCAGTGCAAGGCAGAAAAAGGTTGTCCTAACTCTATTAATTATTCAGAGACGTGTTTTGGGCGTAACATGCAGTGAACCAATCAGCATGTCACCTCACCTTTAAAAGGCATGAATAACGACGGATTACTATTACAATGGTGCGTTCGCCCGGCAAACCAGATCACTTTTCGGCCAAGGAAGCAGATGTGCTCATGCACAAGGTGAAAAGGCATGAGCACATAATCTATGGGAGCAGCACTGTTCCACCTAAGCCTTTCGGGCTGAAGCAGGCGTGGGATGAGGAAGCAGTGAGTCTGGCATCACCAGTTCATGCCGGAAGCCATATAATGATGTCAGAAGACAGGGAAAACAGAAGCTCGCTGCTGAATTTTGGGTCTGCAATTTGCAAAATATAAATAAAAGTGTGATTTTTGTTCAAGCAAAACACAACCAGAGGCAATAGGGCTGTTATTTTTCTATTCTCACAGTTTAGATTCCTTGCCAGGCTAGAGACGCTTCAGCTCTTCTGCCAGCTGACCCTTCCTTGCCCGCGCTGCTGCCTTTGTTGGCATCAGCACATGCAATTCAGCATCATCCCTTCTAAAGTGTTCTAATGTGTTCTAATTTTCGTCCGACAGATAATGTTACGCAAGTTACAAAGAACGCTGCGACCTTCTGAGAGCTGCGTTGTAATGTTCCACCTGACATATCTATATATCTGAAACACATTTTCAGCAATCGAAATGCCCTTTCAATTACATTGTGCACATTATGCGCTTAATTCTGATAATGAATTCGAAAGTTTTTCTAATGATACAGTTTGTTCTTTACTTAATATGTATTGTTTTTCTTTTGGTATTTCATTAAACAGTATGACTACGTGAAAGGACCAGATGTACTCTATAAAAAACGTATACACGTGAAATAAAAATTTAAAAAGTGCGCGTATCTGTGTCAATAACAAACACCGTGCACCCGCATGTTTCTAAAACGTGCCGCATAAATACCATTCAACAATGCGCCACTGACTTTAGACGTGGTTTTTGTCCGTCAAAAGCGCAGTGACATTTCTCTGCCTTAAAATAGCAATGCTCCGACAATATGCCCGGCCACGCCTCATTTAAAAAACACCACTCCTACGAGCAGAAAGTGGGTTGACGGCGTGCGTGCATGGCGTGAAAATGAGTAACGCGCTGGTACGAAGCTAGCAAAACCACTTTGTGTGGAAAATGGAGCCCTTTGTGCTAATGATTTTGCAGTACTGTAGGCTAAGGTAAGTGTTCTAATCAAGTTTAAGGTAGGCAGGGCTGAGCTTGGCTGTGATGTTTGTTAGGTTAGGTGTACTGTAATAAATTGCATTTTTGCCTTAAGATATTTTTACCTTAGAATAGGTTTATCGGAACATAACCCTATCGTAACCCGGGGAACATCTGTAATTTCATAAGGGTTACTGGATTCCTGCAGTCTTCCAAGGTACGAGTAAATCTAT